AAACAACGATTTGCTATTTATGGTCATGATAAGCTTTTGGGCTGGGGTATGAGGTTTTATGGTGTGAGAGGACGGAAGAGGATTTTGGTAAAAAGATAGTTTGGGAGGGAGAGATTGAGAGAGATTAAAGGAGAAAGAGATGAGTGAAATAGATGAACTATTAAAGGAGAGATTTAAGATGGGAGTTCTTACATGGAGGCATTAATTGTAAGTAATGCAAGTTAGATAAAATAAAAAAGAGTAACATATAAAAAAAAGAGTTAATGTTCGCAGGGAAAGATAAATAATGGGTTTCTTTATTATACATTTTTGGGAGTTACTTCAAGATATAGAAAATAAAGAGGGAGAAACCATTGAGATAAAGAAACTAAAGAGAGAGAAACAATTGAGAGACCTTAGAGATTTTACGACAATAAATAGAAGAGAGATTTTATGAAAGAGAAGAAGAGAGAGATAGAAAGGTTGAATGAAAACGGTAGATGATGTAAATATGGGAAAGATAGATATTTTAAGAAAATAAATGATGCAGATATTAGAAAAGAGGAGGAGAGAGATAGAAAGGGTAAAAAAAAAAATCATAGATGATATAAATAAGAGAAAGATATGAGACAGAATGTACAAAAGTTATAAGATGTTTAAAAAAATGTGTATGAAGGAGAGAGAGAGAATCGTGTGGGTGTGGGGGCGAGGAGTTTTATTAAAAAAAAAAAATATTGTTGGGGTGAGAGATTTATTAACAAGGATGAAATATGGGACACGTGGCACAAAAGGGAAAGAGATTCAACAAGAGGACTCGGCCAGCTCCTGATAAATTATGTGAATCGGATCAGCCCCTCTAATTTTCGATCTAATTGAGCGATTTTGATCTAGATAAGTGATTTTTAAAACACTTATTTGAATTTTGAACCAAAATAGTGGTTTTATTTTTTTCATTTTGATAATTCAATGGGAAGGCAGTCCATGCCAATTTTTTAAGTAGATTACTGGTAGGAATGGAAAGACATGGTGAGTAGGTGTGGGCTACGACGACCCGGACCCTTTCCTAGTAAATATTAGGGTGAGCCAAACTAGTCGTTTCCACTATTAAGGGCATGAAAGTCTATAAACAAGGATGTGGATGCCACGTGTACCAAACCGTGGCAGTTAGTTAAAACGCCTCATGTTTGTCTATAAATGGGAAAAATACAAGGGAAAAAGTCTGATTCAAATTTATCAAAGCTGATTATGCCTTTTCCATGACGTACTTCTTCTTTTTGAGTTTCATGTGTTTGGTTTAACGGAAATATCTCTCCAAATGACAGGTTTCCCGTAAAGCAATTTCATACCATCATAGGTATAAAATTGATTGTCATGAAACGAGGGCCTTAACCATTTGGCAGTTTACATGATAGTAGGGCCAGCAACGGGTAGCTCTGGCCCTAGCCTAACCCTAATCTGGCCCAGATCTGTGCGATTTTAACAGGGCCAAAGAACCCCTGGCTTAAGCCCGACCCTACAAGAAAATGAAAAGATTTAAGGACACAAATGCTAGCTCGGACGAGTCAGGTCCTGGCCTTGGCTCCTCAGGCTGTGGTGGCCTGCGCTTTGGCCACAGTTGTTCCCGAGGAATTAATTTTTTTACGGTGCAGATCGGGCCACCAAACCCATTACCACCCCTAGATGATGGTTCATACTTCTCTGTGAACTTTTCCATGGGGCAAAACCATGTTGTCCTACTATTCAATTATGCTATTCTATCCTGCCCTTTTTAAATTTTTTTTTTTTTTTGGGGGAAATACCTTTATACTCTTTATTTTTAAGTTTCATTTCACAATAGACTCAAGGTTTTAAAAGATATCTTGAAACATTAAATTTGTAGATTTTATTTCTTCTAACCCCCCAAACTAATTTAAACATGTTTTTCTAGGCCAAACAAACCCAAACTTTTAGTGAGAGAGAAGCGTTTCATGGAGGTGAGAGGTTCCCAAGAGGAAAGAGAGCAACGTGTTTGGAGAAACATGGGCGGAGAGAGAGAGTAAGAGTGACTCAGGAAGAAAGAGTAGTTCGGGGTATATAAGTGAAGAGAGATAAAGGATTGTGTTTGAAAATAACATGTTTTTCTCACAATTGTTTAAGTTAAAAAATAGGTTTAAAGTGGTCAAAGGGTTAGAAGACATTTTTTGAAACTTTGGTTTATCAAGAAATGAACCTTTAAAATAATAAATATGGAGATATTTTCCCTTTTTTTTTCATAAACCGTGGTTAAAACATAAAGGAAAATTGTTTCATGCAGGCTTGGATATGCGGTCCAGAGGTATAAAGCATCCATCTTGAAGACGGATGCAAATAGATGGTCCATCTAAAAACAATTGCAACTAACGGTTCAAATGATTTCTTAATATAATTATTATTTCTAGTTTTCAAAAAAAAATTTCAATATTTATAATTTCCATGTTAAAGATTATATATTCTCTAAAATTTGTGATCAAATTATATTTAAAAAATATATTTATTGCCAAGCAGTCGCATAGAAACCGTGTCCAAACATAAATTCTCATTCCTTTTGATGGGGATCTTTCTAGGGTTAGTTTTGCCTAATCTTGAGGACGTCCCAAAACCTTGGGGTAGAACTAGACTTTTCTCGAATGCCACTACTACAATCTCAAAGTCTTTTTTTTTCTTTTTTTCCTTGGCAAAAATAGGGGGATTTTATTTGAATAAGATAATTACAATGAGTTTACAAAGCATAAGCTGAAGAAATAGCCACATAAGATAAAAGAACTCATACTTTGGCCAGTGAGACTGCCTCGTCATTCGCCTCACGATAAACACAGTTAAAAGCAATCACATGATTTCGACATAGGTCTAAAACTTCTACTTCCCGCAAATTCTAAAGAGATCTCCCTTTAGGTCCAGAAATTCTATTTCCCGTAAATTTCAAGGAGATCTCCCCATTTAATTTTATATTACCGCTTCATAACATTTAAAGAATCTCTTTCCATTATCCAACATAACTCTTCACACTTCTCCGTCAAAATTTTCAGCCCTACTTCCCGCAAATTCCAAGGAGATCTCATCACCAATCAATAGCATTTAAAGAATCTCCTTCTACTATCCAACATAACTCTTCACACTTCTCATTCAAAATTTTCAGCCCTTATAATAAAGCCAGGAATTCAGCTTTATTACTTATAGCATCACCACACAGGTCTGAGTATGAATAAAGAACCAGATTACCTTTCTTGGATTCCTCAAAGAACTCCCATCAAAATTGATTAAAGAACTCTCATCAAAATTCAGTTTGAAGCTTCCACCTAAAGGAAGGGTCCATCTCCCCGAGGTCTAACTTTGACAGTTGTATGTAGCACCAAGGTTTTCAAATTTAATATAGAAAGCTCCCCTACAACATAGAAGTTCTTTCCACCCCCTTATCCAACCATCCATTTTGTAATGGAGGGCTGATATTGTCCCAATCTACAATGTCATGTATATAC